ATCCCAGGAAGCTGAGGCCCAGGGGCTACCTGGGCATCGCACAGGGGTGTGCGCAGGCCGGAGGGGCCGAGGGCGGCCGAGCAGCGAGGTGCCAGCGAAGGGCAGGTCTGGGCAGAGGTCTGAGAGCTCAGCCAGGGACTGGGTGCTCTGTGAGGTGGTGGCCACCTCCGCGCCCGAGCTCTGGCCCGAAGGCTGGGGCAGAGGGACAGGCTCCACAGCTGTGGTCCCACTGGCCCTCGGGGCTCAGAGGTCACTCCGAGGTCACCCGCCTCTTCATTTGCCTCTTGGGTGCTGTCAACAGGGCTGTTGGGATTGAGGTGAAGATTAAGGAGAGGCAGTTATGCACAGAGCACGCGGCACAGAGCGCATGGGGCAATGGCCCGCCCCGGGGGGGGGGGGCAACGTTGTGGGGGGCGGGCCCCAGAGGCGGAGCCAGGACTCCGCAGGGCCGGGGGCACTCGCCAGAGGCAGGCCTGGGCCCAGCCCGCAGGCTGGCTGCGCGAGTACCTGCGGGGAGGGACCCGGGGGTGCGGGCAGCCAGGCAGCTCCGTGGGTCGCGGCTGCCTTGCTGGCTGCAGGACCCCACGCCCTGGGCCCCTGTCGCCCGGGCTGAGCAAGTTGGGCCCCAGTCAGGACGCGGGGAGCCTTCCAGCACCTTCTGAGGGGCTTCTGGTTCCAACAAAGAAGCCAAGCCCTGAGCTCAGAGCCTTCCACAGAGTTCTGGAACCTTTGTAGCTACCCCCCACCCCCAACACACACCCTTCTCTTCTCTCCTGCTTCCCGGGAGCACTTCAGTCCTCAGCGTCTGAGCAGCCTGTGTGCTCGGGGAAGGCCTGCGGGGAGGGGCTGCGGAGGCAGGACGCTCACAGCGCCCAGGCCCCGCGGCGGGGCCCCCGGCGGGCCGCCCCGGGGGCCTCGGGGGTCATGGTGCTGGAGGCGGGCGAGCCCCAGGCTCAGGGGTGGGGGGGAGCAGGCCTCGGGAGCTTCCAGGAGCGGACCAGACTCCTGGGGCCCGGGGCTGCAGCCCGATGTGCCGCCGCCCAACCCCGGGGGATGCCCCCAGCCCAGCAAGGCCCCCAGCTCTTCGGGGCGTTGGCGCCCCAGGAGGCCATGGCCCAGGGGAGGTCTGCGGGGCAGTGGGGGCATGCCCAGGCCCCCCGAGAGCCACGCGGAGGCGGGCAGGGAGCGGCCCCCATCTGCGCCTGCCCTGCCGCGGCCCAGGCCCTCCCCCTGCCCGGAGCGGACTTGCGGCCCCACGTCACAGGCGAGGGCTGTGTCGCTCAGCGGGGCCCGCTGAGCGCCGAGCGCTGGGAGTCGGCAGTGCTGGGCTCTGAGTCTGGCCCCAGCACCGCCACGTAGCCTGTTGGGGTCCCGGTCACCTCGTCTGAAAAGCAGAGAAGTTGGACCCGAGGACCCTCCGGGTTCTCCCAGCCCAAGCGTCTGACAGGCATCCGATGTACTGTCTCTTCCTCCTCCGTACAGAGCGAGACAAAACCACACACGTCAAGCAGCCTCCTGCACAGTGTGGTGTGATGGCTCGGGGGGCAGGATGGTGAGGACTCAGGGGACACGGTGGCTGCCTTCATGGGCACACAGACAGGTGGAAGCGGCCGCTCAGTATAAAGAACTGAGCACAAGATAAAACGAACTTACAGACAGAAACATGGGCGCTGACTCCCGACAGAGGTGGGTGAGGGTGTGGGAATGAGCTCCCCGTCGCAGAAGTGTGCAAGCCGACACCAGAACCGTGCCCGTCTACGGCCCCCTCCAGCTTCAAAACACTGGGCCTGCCCCTCCGCCCAGGCGGCCCCCGGGGCCAGCTGCGCCCGAGGCCCCGAGGCTTCCTCCCGAGCCTCTCTGGGCCCCACGGCCGCACCGAGGCCATTCACGGATGTGCCGAGACCGGGTGTGACAAGCGTGGAAAGCAATTTGTTTCAAATGATAGTTTTGGAACGAGTCCTTCCTGGGATCCTGTTACAGGTGTAACTGTGCACCTCCCTGCAGGGGAGGCGACGCGGCGACGTGCCCGCCGGAGCTGCTGGAATCGGGCACAAGCCTGGGCCTGGCCGTGGGCAAGGCCACGAGTGCGTGCGCCCCCAGCAGTGCCCACAAGACGCCGGAGGGACCAGTCCTTCCGTGACCCAGCGCACACGCCTGCACGTGTTCCTGTGTGTTGGGGGCTGGCGCCTGAGTAGCCAGGTGTGCGGTTGGTCTTCTTGTGCCTTGGGAGGAAGTGGCTGCCAAACTCCCGTCCTCCTGGAGTCTAGGTTGGGGCACCGGGGGCCAGCGCCAACGCTCTCCCCGGCACCCGGGGTCCTCCCGGGGCCCGGGGTTCTGAGTCCGCCTCACCCCAGCCCTCGTCACAGGAGCGTGGGGATGCCCTCCTGCTGGAGTGCAGGGAGGGGGCCTGCAGCCCCCGGGGAGGACCCAGGCGGTGCCCGGGGAGAGCAGAGCGGGTGCGTGTGGGAAGAGAAGCCCAGGCTCCTCTGGGCCTGTGTGGCGGGCAGGGCGCGGCACCGGACAGCAGGGCTGTGGGGGTGGGGCGGGGGCTCACCTGAGCCCCAGGCCCAGCGCACTGCTCTCTGCCTCGGCGTCGCTACACCTGTGCCCAGGGAGGCCCTTCCCTCCCCTGATGCCCCAGTGTCACCAGAGGGCCACCGGAGGGGCGGGGTGCAGTGCCAGTGCAAGGCAGGCTTCCTCCCTGCCGCTGAGGGTCCCCGGGGGGGTCCCCTGAGGTGTCGCACAGGTTGAGATGAAAAGAAGAGACATTCCAAAGAGACCACAGTCTTTCTTCACTCTTTACTGTGTAAAAATAAACTCAACAATTCATGTCATTTCAGCAAGAAAATGAAAAGAAAGAGAGAAAGCAAGAATACCAGTAGAAATAGTGCATTTCCAGAACCGCTGATGGGAGGTGGCGGGTCCCGTGGTTTTGACCCACTTGGTAGCCGAAAGGCTGCAGGTTGTATGAAAAATGTTCAGCTTTGGTTAGCAAATAATGAAAAAGTAAGATACACCAATTCTCTTCCATATTATACAGTATATACAGTGTAACAATACCAACCATAGGGGGGTTTGCTTTGTTGCTGTTAAGTCTGTTTGTTTAGGGTTTTCTTTTTGGCAAATCAGACAAAATTGGGGCTCGTAAGCACTGGGCTCTTTTCTCCTCAATGACTTGTTCCCCTCCGACAAGCGTGCTCACGAGCCCGCTGCGCCCGGAAGCGGCGCGCTCCCTGGGGTCCGCTGCAGGCCTGTGCACGCTCTGCTGCCGCAGAGGACGCCAGGACGGCCTCCCTGCGTTTTGATGTCACAGGATCCCAGAGGGTCCCACCCCCTTCACGTCAATCGCACGTAACCCCGGTTCTTTCCACCAGCCCTCAACGCGCCGCACTGAACAGGTCGGCGCCGAGACGCCGGGTCCGTCGCTCGGGGCCCACTGGCGCCCTGGTGCCACTGCACCTGTGAGAACAGGGGGCCCCTCCTTGGAGCTCAGTGGAATGACTGTGAACCTCAGGCTGGCCTCTCCCCTCTCCCTCGCTGCCCGCAAGACACCCCCTTGGTCTCAGGTCCCAGGGCTGGTGACAAAGTGATCTCAGAAAATAAACTGGGGATCTACAAAAGGAAAGGAAAGCATACAAAATGTATCTCTTTCTTCCAAAATACACGCTTTCAGTCCAACGTTTTGGCGGAGCCTGAAAAGTATTTTCAAGGGAGATAGAGGTTGAGTTAATTTATAGGTTTGTCCTTTTCTTTCATAAAAATACTCTTGTTTGGTAATAAACTTTTTCTTCTACAGTAAGAGAAATAATACCGTGTTATCAAAAGCAAGAAGGCTTACGATTCGAGTGGGGTCTCAGCCCCCGAGGGCCGGGGGGCCCGTGGGCGGCCGCCCCGCCCCGGCCGTGCCGGGAGCCGCGGTCAGCTCGGCAGAAGCACACACTGTCCCCACAGTGCTTTTTATCTCCGTGTTTTATAAAATGGCTTACCTGAGAGAGGCTTGGGTTACTCAGTGCAAGAGGGAGCGTCGATCCGATCAGGAGGGGGTGGGGACTACGTGGGTTAGATTTGTGGCTGTCACCCGCCTCTCTCGGGGCCGGCACAGTGCCAAGTGTTAACACAGTGAGGGCGTCAGGGGGCTTGGCACAGGCTCCAGTTAGGGGAGGGGAGGGAGCTCAGTGTCAGCTTGTGCCCCTGGCGCCATGTGTGCGCCAGGGGCGGGGCAGGAAGGGGAGGGGCGGAGGTGGACATAGACCTCGGGTCGGGGTTTGCTCTGCCCGCCTCGGGTTGGGGCAGAGGATGGCTTGTGGTCCTGCACGGACAGCTCCCACCGCGCCCTCTGGGCAGGTGGCCGGGTCTGGAGATCACAGGGGCTGGTGGGAGGTGCTGACCGCAGAGCACCGAGCCGCCCTGGGCCTTGCCTTGTAGCGACAGCCCCCAGACGGCTGGAGTGAAGGGGGGTGGTCTGGTCTCGAGGGGCGGTTCCAAGCTCGCGCTCTCTCCCATGGGTGCCGTTTAGGCCTGTTCTCTTCCTACGCGGGAAAACGCTTCGTGGTGGGTTTGGGGAGCGGGGAGGGGGAGAGGGAAACGGCCTCTCCCGGCGCCTCCTCCGACACCCGTGGCTTGCTTTCCCAGACAGTTTCGGTAGCTACATGGATGGTCACGGAACAATGGGTGGCACTCGGCACAAAACACAGAACCAGAGAAGTCCATGCAGGCGGGGGAACACACATCGGACTGGGGGAGCAAGGGACACGCCACCCTGAGGGACATGCACAGAGAGAAGGTCCCTGCAGATCCACAGATGCCACGACCTACGGGCTCTGACGAAGCACAGGGGTCAGAAAAGCCACTGCTGAACCACAAGGCGCAGCCGGCCGCGCCCTCCGCCCGAGGCGGCGGCAGGTCACGTGCAGACGCCCACGGGGACACGGACACAGACACACACAGACGCACTGGGCTCCAACACAACGTGGGCTGCAAGTCGGGGGGCAGGTGCCCTGGAAGGAACAGGAGACGGAAGCACCCGCTTCTCCGGGGGGGACGTCTGCAGCTGCGGGGGAGCCAGGCAGTGCAGGAGGGTTTCTAGAAAGACGTGCCAGCCGTGTGCTGCGTAGACGCCTGGAGACAGAGCCCAGGCGCCCTCGGGGCGCGCGACCCCCGGGGGATGCAGAAAGCAGGGAGTCCGCCCTCCCCCGGGCACGGTCGTCTGAGCGTGTGCTCGCTCTCACCGCCGCGCGTGCGCACACCCCCCTCCCGCCTCGGGAGGGCTGGGAGGAAGCACACACAACGGCTTCTCACGGGAAAAAGAAAATCCAAAGCTTCTGAACACTGGTCAGGACTCAAGGTCACCAGCTGGTGACAGGTGGCTGGGGGCTATGGCAGGACGTGAGCCGCCTACGATGGGGAGTGGGCTTCGGGACCCCGTGAGAGGTCTCCAGGGTGCTGGGTGGGCCAGCTCCCTCGGCCCGGGTTGGGGGGGGATGCGGCTGCTGGTGCCACCGGGCTGGGTGGGTCTCCACGGCCCTGCGTGGCTGTGTCTTAATCCGAGTGTGGGTTTCCCTCTTGAGCTGATTCATGGAAGCCTCCGGTCTTCTACTACTAGAGGCAAGGGGGGCCTGGGGCCGGGCTTCCTGGCTGTCGGGGCCGGGGGGGCTCCTCTCTCAGGGGCACCGGCGCCGCAGCTGGACGGCTGGCGGCTGAAGGACTGGTCCCAGGCTCTCAGCTGTGAGGAGGTGGGAAGGCTGAGGCCCGAGCCGGCCCCTGGGGCCCAGCGCCGCTCTCCGACGCCAGCAGGAGGGCGCTGGGGCCCAGGGGGGACTGCCCGGGCCATCCTCCCACCCGCTCCCCTCTCCGCTGCGCCTCTGGGACAGAGGGCCCTGCCCCCAGAACACTGTCTGCCTTCCGTCCTCAGAGAGAACCCACTTCTACGACAAACTAAAAACCTCCACAGACAGGCACCCCCGCCCCCCACCACCGGCCTTCAGCAAACCGCTGAAAGGCATTTATTACGTCGACACAGCGGCGTGTCACTCAGCGCAAGCTTCGCTAACGAAGACAGATGCGTGTCACCAGGGAGGCCGCCCCGGCCCCGAGGCGCGCAGTTGGCTCGCGAGGTCGGCAAAGACAGGGCTCTGACCAGCCAGGAGATTTCCCAAAGACACAGAGGAAGAAGGAAACGAAACGCCTCATTGTAAAAGAAAAGGTCTCCCCCAGGGACACGCACACTGGCGGACACGCAGGCGCGCGCGTGCGCACACGCACACACACGCAGGCCGCCCTCTCGCCTACTTCTGCACCGCTCGAGCGTCGCGCTGCCTGCACAGCCGTGCGGGGCTCCCGGGAGAGGGCCCCTCCTCGGGGACGGACGGGGCCAGGCCTGCCCCGCGTGCACCGGGACAAACCGGGCGGTGTACGTGTGCGTGTGCATGTGAGCGAGGGCAACGGCCTGGAGTCGTTCGGGGGGCGGGGGGCAGAGAGAACAGAGGACGGGTCATCACCGCACAAGCAGAGGAGGAGGGCGGGGCCGAGGGGCAGGAGGCTCGGCCGGTGGAGCGTCAGTTGATCTGGCGACAGGCTTCAAATGTCCACTTGGTGGCACCTCCGTAGATCTCGATGTGGGACTCGGCCCAGGCGATGACGTTGCCGGAGAGGGCCTTGGTGCTGCAGGTGGCCAGGTTGTACACCTCCCCCGGGGTCAGCTTGCGGTCCCAGATGTTGAAGTGGGCCAGCTCGCCCACGAACGCCTGGGTGGCATCGAACCCGCCGCCCAGAGTGTCCTGCGGAGGGAAGCAGGAGTGAGGGTGGGCGGGACATCCTTGGGGGGCAGGTGTCCGCGCTCCCCGCTCAGGGGCGCTCCTGTTTGCCCCTCCTGTCCCTGGGTCTCCTGCTATACATCTTCTGTCCACCCGCCCCCGCCATGGGCCCGGGAAAAGGGACGCTGCTGGCCACCTCTTCCCAATGGGGAGTCCAGAGCCGGCGCCCTCCATGCGGCCTGCGGTTCCCCAGGGAGCGCCCCGGCCCTGCCCAAACCGCTGCAGAACTCACTTTCACTCCTCATTCCCCAGCCCTGCCCCTCCTAACACGCCCCCCAACCCCGCCCCTGCCTGGCTCTGGCTCTGGGGCGCCGCCCCCCGGCTGCCCCAGGGCCCTACCTGCTCCTGGCCCAGCACCAGCACACCCTGTGGCTTGATGGGGTGGTAGGGCGCCAGGTTCTCGCCGTTGCCGCCCTGGGTGCCGTCCTGGTAGGCTTCCCAGACCCCATCCCGGGTGGTCCAGGTGACGCAGATATGGTGCCACTTGCCGTCATTGATGACAAAGGGCAGCTTGGCCACCTGGGAAGGAGAGGACGCACCTGCCACTGTGGGCTCAGGATCACCCCCCACCACCCGTGACCGGTTCCGCTGTACAACCAACTTTTCCTGCTGTACATTTAAGGTATGTGACGGGAGCCACGGCTGATGGCATCGTCCAAGGGTGGATCAGAGTCACAGAGGAAATGTGACATCTGTCAGGGGCCCCTGAGGTCCCCCTGAACCTACCCTGCCCCTGACTAGCCCTCCCTGGGGCCCGAGGTCCCTGCTCCCCCACTCCACCTGTCCTGGGTGGGTCCTCTGGGAATCCCAGGGACCCCACGGTGGAGGACACCGTGTCTGAAGGCTCAGACCAGCCTCTGACCTGGTCTTCACTCCCCGTCAGGTGGCCCAGGTGGGGTGGGTGGGGCAGCAGGGCAAACCCCCTTGCATCTTGGGGAAACGGGGCCCCCAAAGGCACAGCATCCCTGGGCAGGGCACCAAGGGCATGGGGCCCACTTTCCAGCCCAGGTTTCAGCCGTTTAGCACCAACACAGGCTAGAGGCTGGAGCGCGTGCGTGAGAGCTGGCAGCTGGCCCACAGCTAATGGAGGGCCGAGCGGGGAGGGTTCCTGGGGCAAAGCCTGGAGGTTCGGATGCAGGAAGACTCTCCGAGGCCCCCCGGGCCGGCTTCCGCTGTCTGTCTGGGGCGGGCCCAGCCTTGCCCAGTTCCTGGAGTCAGCAAGGGCGCGCCTCCCACCTCTCCTGGTCTTCTCCCTCCACCCCCCCTCAGCCCCGCCTGGCAGGGCGCTCCCGCTGGGGGCTCGGGGGTCCCGGCAGCCAGCCAGAACTGGGCCCCCTGCTGGGCGGGGCCCCACCTTGTCATTGATGAGGATCTCCATGGGGTTGTTGCCCCACTCGATGAGGACCAGCTCGTTGGCCTGGCCGGGCACAGCGTAGGAGAAGGGCGTGCCCACGCCAGGCGCCGCACTGGACTTGAGCCACATGCACACGGTGAAGGCGTACATCTCCGGCAGGCTCTTCTTCACCTTGGCATACATGTAGTTGGTCCGCAGAGGAAATGTGAGCTGGAACTTGTCTCCCGGACGGTTGTCCTTCTGGCCTGGGGAGGACAGGACACAGTCCTGACACCTGCACCCCCCACCCCCGCCCAAACAGAGCAGACTCCATTCTGCAGGGGCCTGCGGGGGTCTCGGCGAGGGCCAGAGCTTTGTCCCAGGGCGCAGGTCCCTGCACCGGGGTCCGGCTCCCTGGCGGGGCCGCCCCAGGGAGGCCAGGATGGGGCTAGGCAGCGCGGTGGCCGTGAGCGCCTGTGTGTGTCCGGGTGAGTCGGCGCACGCCCCGTAGGCTGACCTGCAAGGGTGCGGCCCCAAGGAAGGAAGCCACCCCCCCTCCAGAAAGAGGCTAGGTCCCCTCGGAGCAGCCCTGCCGGGGCCGCCCCGATTCCGGGATGCGGGCTGCTGGCGGCGCTCAGACACACTCCCTCCTCTCCCGAGTCTCCTTGAAGGCAGCCAGGCACGCGGCTGCCCCCGGTCCCCCTCTGACCCGGCCGGCCCGCCCTGAGGATGCGGGCTCTTTCCAGAACCCCGTCCACCCCACGGGAGGGAGAGTCACCCCTTCCAGGCTATTCCAGCAACTGCCTGGAGCCTTGCGGGGGGGCCCGCAGCAGGGGGCCGGCGCCCCTCACGGTGGCTTCTGGGAGGGCCGGGCCACTCGCTTGAAGGGTGAGCCACCGCGATGTCTCCTGGCTGACAGCCCCCTGTGCACGCGGCCACCGGCTCCCCGCCCACCGGTGTGTCTCCAGGGAATGCTGACTGCCCCCTCCCCATCTACACAAACCAGGTGGCCGTGGCCCTGGACAGGCTGTGACTGACTCCGGGCACAACATTCCCGCGCAGCAGCAGGCACCAGCTCCGGGCCCGGGCTGGGCCGGAACACACGTCCGCCAGCCCCCGAGGACGCCCCAGGCCTGCCAGGGCGCCTGCACTAAACCGGCCCCCAGGCCAAGAGTTATTTCTAGAAGGCGTCCTGCTGGCCAGCTCCCTACTGGCCGGCTTCCCCTAAGCCAAGTGTCGGCACAGAGCAGGGCTGGCCCCTCAGCGCGACCCACGCAGCCTCAGGCTGGCAGTCCCCAGCCCTTGGAGCAGATCCAGCCCTGGCCTCTCCAGGGGGTGGTTTTCCTGTCCCCAGTCTCCCCTCCTTCCCCCACCGGCCCCTCCTCCCCCACCTCCCTCCCCTGATCTGTTTTTCAGTTACATAAGGTGCCTTAAGATGGCACTGTTTAAATCCATCCGGCACATTTTGCGGTGTGAGAAGGGTCACGTGGCTCGGCTCTGAGCCCGGCCCCCCCCCCCTTACAACCTTGTTTGATTTCTGCGACTTCAAGGCTAAGCTACCAAGCTCATCCGTGCCCCCAGGGTGCAGCGGGGGCCCTCCCGGAGTTGGGGACCGGGGAATCGCAGGGCACCCGATGCCCAGGCTTGGGTCGTTCAGGACAGAAAACCACGGGGAGGGGCTCAAGGCAGAGGGGGCACCCGGAGCTCCCCGAGGACCCCGTGCACACACAGAGGAGCCGGGAGGGGGCCTGCTCAGGCCCCGAGTCAGCAGGGCACCAGGAGGACTCAGGTCCCACCCGAGCCAGCTCTTCGGGGACCGACGAGAGCCAGGCTGTCTCGGAGGAAGGGCCTGGGCTGACCACAGCGCAAAGTTACGGAAAAACAAACCAGACTTGGGAAAATCCTGCGAGTCTGCGAGTGTGCGTGGGGGAGCCCGGGACGCCAGGCGGCCCCTTCCTCTCTCTGCGTCCCCTCCCTCCACAGTAACAGCCAGAGCCCGGGTGCCCAGCCCCACCAGCAACACCCCTGGGAAGCCCAGAACCCTGTGCAGGGTGGGGGTGGGGCGGGGGGCTGCAGGCCCTGGGGGGGCGGAGAGCTCTGGCTGTCACTGCAGGAAGCCAAGACCCCGGCAGGGTCCCGCGGCCGCCCCTCCCCAGATGTTACCTTTCTCCAGCTCGCTGATGCGCTGGTGCAGGGAGGTCAGGGCGCTCTCGATCTTGACCCTCTCCTCCGTGTCGTTCTTAGGGCCCCCCTTGCCCTCCTCCAGCGTGTTCACCCTGGACAGCACCTGCCTCTCCAGGTCATCGATCTTGCTCTGCAGCAGATCCTTGAGGCTGTTAGTCTGGCTGGAGGAGTTGAGGCGGCTGTACTGCTGCGGGGAGAACCACCGCGTTACGCGCGGCGCGGGGACCCTGCCGGGAGGCTGGCGGCGCGGTCCCCTCAGGGCGGCTGCCGGGGTGGCCGGGCGGCGGGGAGCTCCGGCGAGTAGCCGGCCATCCGCGGAACCCGCAGGCTCCGGGCGCCCAGCCGCGCGGGGGTGGGGGTGTCCGGCCGGGTCGGGAGTGGGGCGGGCGGGGGCAGAGGGGCACGCGCGCCGGAGGGGGACCCGCGGCGGGAGCGGACCTCGAGGTTCTCCAGGCGGGTTTTGAGCGACTGCAAAGTTTGCCCGAGTTGGCTGAGCGTCTCGGCGGCCGGCGTCCGGGACAGGTCGCCCATGGTGTTCTTGCCGGAGCCGGGCTGCTTGCGGCCGGCGCCCGCGTCCAGCGTGCTCTGGCTCTCGCAGCGGCCCAGCTTCGTGGTCAGCTCCCGGATGGTCTCCTTCTGGCTGAGGATGGTCTCTTTCTGCTGCAGCACGGTCTCGCGCAGCTGCAGCACGTTGCTCCGGAGCTCCTCCGCGCCGCCGGCGGCCACGGGCGCGCCGCACATGTCGGCGTCCACGGGCACCGAGGTGCAGATGAAGCGCGTCTGCCCGAAATCCTGGGCCGCGCTGCCCAGGAGGCAGAGGGCGAGCAGCGCACAGGTGCGCGCGGCGCGGCCGGCCGGCATGGCTGCAGGCGCGGGGCCGGCGCTGCGCCCGGCTCGGCGGCGCTCGGCTCGGCTGGGGCTCCGCGGGCGGCCGCGCTCCGCTCCCCGCGCAGTGCGCACCGAGACGCCGTCTGGCCCCCACTGCTGCCTGCGCTGCGGAGCCCGCGCCTTTTATGCCCCCGCGGGAGGGGCCGCGGCGCCGCAGACGTCAGCGGGGGAGGAATCCCGCTTTAATTGTCAGCGGCCCCGGCCCAGGAGCGGAGGGGGTCGCTCCCGCGCGCGGCGCGGGGCGGCTTCCTCCCGAATGTCTGCCACCCCCGCGCCACCGCCGCCCCCCGCCCCCACCGGCCCGCCCCCGCCCCAGCCCCGGTCCGCGCCGCCGGTTCCCCCAAAGCGCTGGAAGCCGCGCGTGGGGCGAGAGAGTGGGGGGTCGTGAGCCAGGCGGCGGCCTCGGGCTCGGGGATGAGCCACCTGCCTGACGTCCTCAGATCCCCGGCGGGGCTCTGGCCGGGTGGGAGGCCACCGCCTCCCGGAGATGAAATTCCCTCCAACTCGCCTGGCTGCAGGAAACACCTGAGGAGCTCAGGCCCCGGGCGGTCGAGGGGGCTGAGTCCCCAAAGACTCAAATCGTCACCATCCGCCTGCCGCGTGGGGACCTTGGAAGAGGGAGCCTGGGGGCACAGCCAAGTCCAGAGAGGGAGGCTCAGGTCGCTGCTGGTCCTTAGATGTCTGTGCGGGGGCTGACCCGCCCTCACGCCTCGCTCCCTGCTCTCCCGAGCCCCTGCCCCCCACTCCCCAGACCTCTGGGAGCCGGGCAACGTCTCCAGGACTGACAGCCCCCACCCCGCCCCTGCCCGGGGGCGGGGCGCGGACTTCTCGGAGGCAGCCCCAGTGGATGGAGCCTTTCCGGCCAGCGGAGACGGCTCGATTCCCGGCAGACGGCGCATCCGGGGCGGGCCGCTCCCTGTGGTCCCCGGGGCGGCCCTTTGGCTGGCGCTCCCCAGGGCCTCCCCATCATGGGGGCGGGGGTGCACCAAGAATGCGCCGCCTGCGCATGTCTGGGTGCGTCCTGTGGGCCCAGCTCCGCCTGGGTCTGCGTGTGCGTATTGGGCTTTCTGGGCGCCCCTGAACCCCAGCTCATCCTACTTCTCCGCCAAAGGCTGCAGAGAGGGGTCCAGGACCTGGGGAGGCTGTCCCACCCGCGGCGCTCAGCTTCACAGCCACTTAGTCACCGTCACCTCTACTCGCCCCCCTTCCCCCAACACACACATTCCCGCCTTTTCGCTGGTCAGTGGCGCTGCTGAGCTCGGGTTCCACCGCCAGACGCCCGCCCAGGTCCCCCGAGGGTCCCTGCTGCTGGCCCTCTGGGATGGTCAGAACCAGAGGCACTTGGGAAGGAGCCCATTCCAAGCTCCCATATGAGAGGAGGAAACTGAGGCGCCAAGATGCCCACGGCCTGGCTCCAGGTGACAGAACCGGGGTCCGCCAGCCCTGCTGACGCTTGACACGCACACCTGGACCCTCCTTCCGCAGCCTCTGGCTGGGCGCTGCCATGGCCGAGCCAGCGGCGGCGAGCGGCCAGGTCCCTGCCCAGCAGCCCCCGCCTCGAGGGCAGGACCCCAGGCGTCTCCAGGACTGGGGAGGGCGGGGAGAAGAGGCTGGGGTGGTTGATGCCTTTCTGAGAAAGCACTGGACGCTGCCCTGCCCCCTGCACAAGGCCTCCCCCAGCCCTGGCCCCGGCCCGGTCCCCGCCCCCTGCGATCGTTGGCCGTCTCGGCCTTCAGCCCACCCTGCACTTCCCAGCGCCAGAGGGACCCCGCGGCCCACACCGGGCTGTGCTCCAGGCACCGAGGCCCCTGCGAGGGCGGGCTTCCGGCAGCCAGCGCCAGGCGGCGAGGGGGCAGGCCAGCAGAACCGCCACAGGGGCGTGCGCCCGGGGCATCCCAGGCTAGCAGGAGACTCCCGAGGGGTTCCCCGTGCGAGGGGTGGAACAGTTTCTGTCTCCACCTCCCAACCAGAAAGACTGGGGTCCCTCTCCCCAGGGGTCACCTCACTACCCCAGTCAGAGGCCCCTCCCGAGGAGCCTGGAGCCAAGGCCCTCCCTGGCGGAGAGGGGAGCAATCCACGTTGAGCTGGTGGGCGCCCAGAGAGGAACCCAGCGGCCTGGGCAGGCTGTGCAGAGGGCGGGGCGTCCGTGGCACGGCGTCCCTGGCCTGGCCTTGCGTCCTGATTGGTGGGGGGCGGGGCGGGGGCTGCCTGCGCCAAGGCAGGGAGACAGGCTTCTGGTGTCAGAAGCGGGTCAGGGGCCCTGGGGCAGTATCCGGGGGGGTCTCTGGCAGGGCAGTGTTGAGCCCAAAGGGGAGGAGGTGGCGGTCCAGCAGGCGACCTCTCCACCGGAAGGCGCTGTGCAGGCCCCCTGCGCACGCTCGGGGGTTGCTGCTCAGGCGGGTGGAGGGCCAAACCACCACGATGCTCGGCCTTTGAAAATCCTTTTAACTAGACTCAAGGCGCTGGGCAGGGGGAGGCGCTCTCTTGGTGTTTTGGAGTTTCCCTCCACAGTGTTGGGGGGGCGGGGCTGGGAGATGAATGAACACGACCTTCGGCGGAGGAAGCCCAAGCTGCCTGGCCCCGAGTCCGAAGGTCGTGGGTACAGGGACACCCTCGTATGTGCACATGGGTCTCCCCGCCTGGCCTGGGCCCGTGCCCCAGAACCGCAGTGGGGAGCCTGCGAAACGTGCACCTGCGGCTGGGGAAGGGCAGAGCGGCCTCGCGACTGCGGGCGTTCCCGCCTTAGACTCGCGACCCAAGCAAACAGACTCAAGAGCAGAGGTAACAGTAAATGCGATAGAAACAATTAGAAAGTGGTGTGTTCTGAGTGTGTGTCACCTTCCTTCTCAGCACAATTAATTTAATTCTAAGTTTGGATTTTAATGATGGCTGTGTTTAACAAACCGCTTTCCAATTCCCGAAAACATAGCGATTGCCGCAGCGCGCTCAGCACCCCACCGCGGGGGGGGAGAGTTCGCGGCCTCGGCGGGGAGCCTGGGGGCAGCTCTGTGGTGTAAGCGAGGAGAAGTGGGCAGGGTCGTGTGGCCCGAGACCCCCCGCTGGCGGTGGCCCGTGGACGGGAGGCAGGCAGGCATGAAGAGGCCGACCACAGGGGCCGGGCAGGGTTCTCAGGGCGCGCGTGCCCGTGGGGTCTCTTTACCCCGTGGAGGAGGCGGGAGCCCACCCAGGCAGGTGCTGGGCCCACCTTCACGCACTCTGGGGTCCTCCCTGAGCCCGCGCCCTCCCAGGGCCAAGGCCGAAGCCTCCAGCTGGTGGAGAATGTCCATCCGAGCAGGGAAGACCTCCCCCCGCAGTGGGTCCTGGGGGGGGGCCGGGGAGGACGCTGGACAGGGGCATAGGGCCCACCCTGGGGACCCTTCCTTGGAGGGCAGACTTGAGGAGCGCTGAGAGGCTGCTCTTGGGGTGATGGCGAGTGAGGGGAAGGGAGGGCAGGACCGAGAGAGGGAGAGAGGGAGAGACGGGTCTGAGGGCCCCGGCGGACGTGGACTGGTCAGGGCCTGGCATCGGCTTGGCTGCGGGAGTGCAGCTCCAGCTGTGGCGGGCGGGGTGCGCCTGCCGAGGAGGGCGGGGTCTGGAGGCGGGGAGAGTCCAGGAGTCGCTCGGGGACTTTGGAGTGTTTATCCGACAGCCAGGAGGGGACAAAAGTGACGAAGTCCAGGTACTTGTCCGCAAACCCAGCACTTAGCTGTCTCATGAGCGCCCACTGCCGACGAGGCTCCTGGCCCCACTGCTGAACTGAGCCAGCGGGGCCTGAGGGCCGGCAGGGAGCCCTGGGAGCACCTTCCCGGCAGGGGCAGAGTCGGCCAGTCAGCAGGGAGACCACCCACTGGAACGGGGCGGCGGTGGGGGGGAGGGCCACCCAGTGTTCCAGGTTCCTTTCTGTTAAGATTTCTGATGTTTGCATATACCGAGGTCAAGGACAGGGACTAGCGGGCTCAGCGATGGCTGGGCGCTCTCCCGCCTTCAGCAGGCTCCCGTCCCTCTTCCCTGCCCCACGGGCGCTGGATGGGGAAGCTGGTCTGGAGCGGTCCTGGGGCGCCCACCCGAGAACCCTGTTCGCCGTCACTTGGTTGGCTGGTTCGCTGGGCGCTGGGGCTGCCAGTCCGCTGTGCCTTGCACATCAGTTTCACATCTGCCAAATGCCAGGAGCGGGCAGTGAACTGTAGAATGACCTGTAGAGCAATGGGGCATGAAAGTGCTTCGGAATTCAAATGGCGTCTACCCGCCTGCGGTCCCCGTTCTCCTGAGGGCTGAGCGAGTGCTGCCCCGGCACCTGCAGGAGGAGGGCCTGGCTCCTCCCTCGGGGGCAGCCCTCTGCAGCCTCCTGCTGCTGCAGGGAGGCCTCGGGGACAGGTGCCCGGGACCGCAGGGCGCCCGTGCCCGGGGTACCGGTGGGCTGACAGAGGGGCTCCCGGGGCGCCGCTCATGCACCGGAGAACAGGGTGGCATCAGCTCCCTGGAGCCCTGTGTCTGACAAGGTGCTTCCGCACGGCTGAGCCCACTGGGCCGGGCTCGGAGCCGGGGGGTGGGGGTGGGCCCGGCAGGTGCCGGTCTTGCTTTGATTCACCCATTTCACAGAGGAGGCAGTTGAGGCCTCTGAGGGCCCGGCCTGAGCGGCGCCACCTGCTGGTCCCAGGAACGCAGGGCGGGGCCTCGGCGCATCCGTTTGTCCCTTCACCAGGTGGGCGAACGTGGTTCCTGACCCTCTGCGACGCCTGGGGCGCTCCAGACGGTCGACACGTGAGAGCTCTGCCGCTCGTTTTTCCTGAAGTTGACGTTTAACCTTTTCTTGGTTTTATGTTTCCATTGCATGCCCTTTTCTTAAACGCTGGCATCTACTACTCGTGCCTCCATTAAGATTTCTCTGAGATGGTGTCCCGCTGGGCCGAAGCGCCAGTGGTACCAGGGGCCAGTGTCAGGGCGCCTCACCGACAGCTTGTGGGGGCTGACCC